GAGTGTCTGTTTACTTGAGATTTGCACCCTGCTATTGCAGGTGCAGAACTAAGACACTCATCCGAGTTTCAAACCTTTAAATATTTGGGCTTGTCTTCTAACATATAGGAATTCCTTTGAAAATATGAGATCACAAAACAGTGCATAATTAGCACTGAATTCTCTGTATAAAGGACAGTAATCTAGAATTGTCAGACTATAATGCCTGTTCCTCATGACAAATCTGATACCTAGCCATTATTATAGCATTATACAGTTAGGCAATTAAAATAAAAATGAAACGCGAAATTTTCAAATTGTAGTTTTGATGAACAACATGAAAACAGGAGTAGTGAAAGAAAAGTTTTATATTCCTTGTATTTCACTGACCCTCATCCTTACTTTTAGCTTTTCTGCAAAATATCAAAAGATCTGGCATAATRGAGACTGACAGGGAGCACATCTGACGAAACTCTCTCTTAAGTCTTTTTGAATAAAACATTTGGTGGAAATGTTTCTTGGCACCTTCAGGTTAGCATTAAAAGCGTAATGGCTTTAAAGCAAGCCTGAACACCCCTTGACAAATGACAGTTGCAGATTTTAAAATTAAGATTACAGATGCTGCTGAAGATATCAAAAGAAATGTGCCCAGCAGTTGCCTAGTGCACTTGCTCCTGACAATACTGTTTGTCTGTCAGAAGATCACCTGCATCGTGATCTAACTCTGATGATCCCGCCAATTTCTACATTATGAAAAGCAGAAGCCTTGATTATATTGTCAGTCACACAGCCAAGGTTTTTTCCTTTCTCTTTTATACAAAAAGTTCCCCTTTCAGATTTCTCAAGCACAGTTGGAGGGACCAGTTTGTCTGAGTTCTAAATTAACAATTTGTTTTCATTTACTTGACAAGTAAATCAGAAAAAACCAGCCCATAAAAGCTATTTTATTTTGTTATTTGTTTTCAGTAATAACCATGCTAATTACTGTATAAATTGAAGGATATTTTGAAAGATGTAATTCTGGACATTCAAAACTACACTGGGTTGGATGCAGATATCTTTAAGGTGCCTTCTAACCCAAACAAGGCTATGTTTCCATGTTGAAGCCTAATATAAGAGAGTAAACTCCAGGCAGTTATTTGGAATTAGCTGCATGTTTCCCACACAGGGGTTTTGCATATGGTTTGAAAAACCATAGACGTGGTATGAGCTGAAGGTGACTTCTTGAACAAGTCAGTGTTTCAGCAAGTTTTCCGGCATTCTCCAGCCTCCCCAAAGCCACACCTTCAGGAAACATTGTGTCCTTCAACCTCTGATGCTGCCAGAAGACCCTTTTCTTTATGAGTAATTACGCATGGAGAATTATTTTTCCATGTTTTATGTAGTATTTTCACTCACCTTGAGTTACTGTTAGTATTTTTCCAAATTGAATTGAGGAATACAGGGGCTTTTTATTGCCATATCCAGACACTTAAAATGAAAGACTTCTAATATGGTCTCCTTTGCACTAATTATTGCTTGGGCAGCATTCAAGGAAGATCAGTCACTGGAATGAGAATGAAGRTCTTGTCATCACTCATTTTACATTTCTGTTGGGAAAACTATCTTTCTGGGAAAGATTCTTCCTCCACTCTTCAAAAAGGAATATCAGTAAAACTTGGAAATTTGAATGTAGATTTCAAAGATCTCTGTTTAAAAATGTGTAATCAAGTTAATCAGGCAATTCTGACCAAAACTGTCTTTTGTTTGGTATATTGATAGCAGGGCTTGRGGATAAAATAAACAGAGCATTGCTTAAGTTGGTAGATACAGTTTTAGATTTAGAATGCTTTTAAAACATCAAAAGAAAATGCCTCATTTTGCTCTTAAAAGCTCTGGTATCAGGCAATTATTTAAAAGTARGGGTATTTCTTATTCATATGCAGTTATGGTACCATTATCCTTATTAGACACAAATGTCACTGGAATCGTCCTGAACTTAATTTCTGTGACTCGTCTGGGTTTGAGTGAGACACTGACATTCTCAGGAGGCTCATCATTACACTTCTGCTTTGCTGTATCTTCTATTCCACCCCTTTACTGTGGCAAATCTATTGACCGATTCACTTTTGTTTCCAAAAATCTGTTCATTCTTTCTTTTTTAAAAGAGCAAAAATAGAGAGGGGAAAAAAAAAAATCTCTGTATCAAAGTAAATTAATATTTGTGTCTCAGGGAATACTTTCTTTTGAAAGTTCCTTGAACAACTTGGATAAAATAAAACCTGAGAGATATTCTGGGTGGACTGTGGTGTATTAATATCTGTAGTTTGACCCAATCTGTTTCAAGCAAGTCCATTAACAAGAACATAATATATTTGACTTTTACATTGGTATAAAACAGCAATCAACTAAATGCTATATTTATATGATAATTTCTSTTGCCAGTAGGTCATATGGTGAAATAATTTTTCCAGAGATTCCTCTCCCTGCCTTCTAACAACCTTCTGTTTCTTGCTACTGTTGACATCAGAAAGTTTTTATAGAAGATAATGTGAGAACACAGCTTCATCTCTAACATTATCCATCCATGTGAGATGAGTGTGGAAAAGAAATTTCTCAGTACTCTTGGATACAAATCATGTATTCAATAGATACCCTTTTAATGATACATTGCATTTTTCTGTGTAGGACATCGTCAGTGTTCCAAGGATAGTAATTAATTGGTTATCTGTCAAGCTTATCCCACAGGACTTAATCATCTCCTTTTTTGCTAACACTACCGTCTTCTCCAAAGGTGCTTTTTCTTTCAAATTTAATAAATGATTACCATAATTAATTTAAACATGTAGATTTGTTTGCAAGCTGCCCTTAGGCTGAAGTCTGTGGCTTCTTTTTCAGGCCTTGCTGGTGCTGTATACCTAAAATAGCGTCTGTTCTTTTGTCTGCTATATAATATCATCTCACAAACAKTGCTTCTCTCCCTTACTTAGAAAAGACACTAATTAGTTTCCATTATCCTTCTACTTTGCATATTTTCCTCTCTATTTATAGTTTTATGTAATTTGCTTCATTTGGCTTTGTTTTTTTTCATTACTCTGTAAGCTTTTAAGTTTGGGGATGTAACTTGATTTAATAGGATCTGATTTAATGAGATGCCAGCAGGTAGTGCAGGACATAAATAGTTGAAATTATTGTTCATAAATGCTTTTAATTCAAATATATCTCCAGTACTTATGGTAAAGCATTTTATTTCAAATTTTCTCTTTTGATCTAGAAGTTCCCTTTGTAATAGACTCTTGCTCATCCAGCCTGTGAAGTTAGGCACTGAAAGTTCTGCTGCGGCCATGGGGTCAAGGAGAGATGTGTCATCAGCTAAAAGTCTGACTGAGCGTTTTAATTACTATGTGCTACTAATTTGATGAACTGCCTCATAGGACAGGTGTAATAGGACATTTATTTCATGTTCCCTAGCTTTCAGATGTCCTTGTCATGTCTAAACAGAGTGCTGAATTTCTGTTGTTAAATTTTGGGTTAGMCTCTCAAACTTAAGGTAGTTTGAAACAATTTTGTGAACTTTATGATGGTGATTAAAGAGAAAAGAAGTTCTACCCTCTCTAGAACATTAATGACAGATCAGAAAACATGTTTTCCATACTAGAAATAAGGTTAAGCACTTTAAAAGCATATCAACAGAAGTGAAATTGAGCTTTTCAGAGCAGACTATCCAATCATCTCACATAGCAAGCAAATCACTCTACTCAGTGATTTTATAATATGGAATATTTTTAGAGTGCTATTGCAAACTTCATTTCATCTTGAAGCATAAGCCACGATAGGCCTGCTATGGAAATGACCCTGTTAGGGACAGCTGTAGAAGTGACAAATGTGCACACAGAGTGCCAAATAATGTAATATAAATGCTGTGAGTAGCTGTACCTTTCAGTGAAATACACTTCATAATAATGCTCGTGTTGTTATTCCAGTAATAGATTACATCCAATCACTTCAGGATTTTAAAACTAGTTTGGTAAAACATCACAAATGGTAATTTGTCGTGCATTTGCAGTTAGCTGTAATGACTGAATTGAAAGGCATTTCCTTYTCCTACGGTTTTTTGGATTACTTATACAATTTGGTCAGGAATTTGGGAAGAGCAGTGCGAGGCCATTCTATATTCTCTTCCCACAACTGTGCTGGTGAYGTTTGCTATCTCTGTCAAAGGGGGATAGAACAATGTTTATTTTCCCAAAACTGGGGACCTACTTTAACAAATTACAACCTATTTTTTGCAYCTCAAACTAATCAGAGCTATGCTAGAGCAAAATTCAGTGAGCAACCCTCACCAAATGTTMTTCCCAGGCCACTAAGCCACTGGGTACTTGTTTTTTTTAAACCTGCTGATAATGAAATCATGACATTTCAGTATACCATATAATTTAAAGTCCAGGCTTAAGATGTAGCTTTTCATATTGTTAAAGTTTTCATATTTTTAAAATCTGTCTTCCTCTTCATGGCCAGGTAATTTTGCAGAATGGAGTGAAAGGAGGGTATATCCATATAGTTACTTGTTTTTCCTTTCTAACTTGCCAGTAAGAAAGCTGCCAAATTGGAGATTTGTGGAAGCTGTGGTGGATATCTAATTTTCCTCAGATGGATCTGGAATTCTGTTTCTGCTTTGTGGCCAGCCACAACCATGTGGCTTTGGCACAGAYAATGGACAGGGAACACTTCATGTTTGCCAGCAAAATACTTTTTTGCCTTAGCCAGTTGAGGTTGTGTCTGTGAGTTGACTTGTCCTTGCTTTATTGGGCCTGCTTTATTCCTCTCAATTCTGTCTGAGGAAAATGGGTCTAAATTCTGCATTTACCATCTAAAGCACTTTAAATGTTTGTTTCACATTATCATTGGAGACTAACTGGAAATGATTTTAATCATTTGCAAACATGCTTTAATAGAAAGCACAGAGAAGAGAACAAAGTAATCTAATCCCTACAAAGATTTGCATCAGTGATGTAGGATAGGCAAAGGACACATCCCCCAAAGCTGTAGATCCCAGTTACAGGACTTGCCTTGTGCACGCTTTTCTCCGCACTGCTGCTGTCGGCTCACAGAGCAGAAGTTACATTTGCTTTGAGCTCCTCCTAAAGTCTGATTCCCAAAGGGATCCTCACCCTGCGAGGCAGAGACAGAGTGGGTGGAGCGTCTAGWTCCTTGCTTCTCCTCACTCTCAGGTTGAGCCTTTCCTGGAAAGCAYCAATAAATAGATGTCTGTGTGGGGAAGGCAGAGGGGTGTTTCCTTTAARTGCCTTTCAGTTTTCCCATCTCTGAAGCCTCACAGAGACTTCATTATTTATAATTACTGTATTTTCTGTTGCCGAGCTACAATGCAAAATGCCTATGTGGATATTTTTATACATTTACACTATTGTCTGGCAGTAGGGGACTTTGTAAAGATGTAACTCAGGAGTTCTGGGTGATTTTATGAAGCCATTGTACCGTGAATGCTTGGATAGATGTGTGATCCATGATGAGCTGTTGAGACAGAACAGGGCTGGGGGCTCTGGGTGAGGAGGAGGTGAAGTGGCTGCTGAGCATTCTCTTCAGAACATGAGTGTGGGGATGTGAAAATTCAACCTCTAAAGATCACTTAAAGAGCTTGGAACAGTTATATCTGGTAAATGGAGTTGCAGCAAATAGTACTCATTGTTTAGCATTCTAGCATTTGCCTCGAAATACTGTTCTATTGATCAATTATATAGTATGCCTTTATATGTTCTCTCTATATGGAAAATATTTCCAAAAAAGGTTGTAAAAWTTCCTTTTCCATTACCTGATTTTAATTAAACAGGAGAACCTTAATATGCTGTAGCCATCTTTTAACCTTGCAGCACATCACTAAGGTAGTGTTATTTTTTTTGTGAACTTGATAGTTTTGTCAGTACCAAATAGAAATGCTAACAAATGGAAAACACTAAAGCAGAGCTCAGCAATACATCATGTATTCCGCTGCTTCTTTGACAAAATTATCTTTTTGCTCTAATGTAGTAKGATCAGCTTTACCTCTAATTGCAAAATGTCATTGCATTGTAAATAGCACATACAGCATTCTGTACACATATTGTGATTGCACTTAGGCTTGACTTGTTCTCATGCTCCTTGTTTCAGTGAAGTCAATGAGGTTATGTGGTTAAGTGAGAGCAAAATGTACTGCTTTCATTTAGACTAAAATGGCAAATTACAGCTCTGAGTGCTTCTGGGAACCTAGTGAATGTCACAATAAAATTAAAATATATTTATGCATTGATCTGAAATAGGAAACTTTGAGTGCTCGGGAATCTTATAGAAAATTGGAGTGACTAGTGTTGAATTTTGGTCCTGTTTCTTCATTGCATTTTCACCACCTGATTACAGCTTGTTACAGAATTTGAGATCTGGTATTGCTTCTTACAAAAGAGGAAAACAGTTTTTGTCTAGTGACAAAAATAGAAGTGTTGGACTCGTTCTTTACTAGAAAGAATTAAAAAACAATATTTGAAGGGAATAAAACTGTTTTTGTAAGATTGTTTCTTTTTGAACACAGATATGGGCTGAAATGAACAATATTTCATAATAAAATACCAGAACAGTAACTTGAACTTCATCATCATCAATCATCATTATTATAAATCTGAATGAAGAGGGTTGTGATTTGCACCACTCAGTATATGCTCATCTGCATCAGATAYGCAACCAAGACTCAGCTTTTTCCTGTCTCAGCTTTTTCTGTTCATCCCATGGTATTCTCTGCTGTGACACATTGAATAAAAAGGAAGATTATATCCTCAAATTCTAACAACCAATTTAAGTGTGAAAAATTACCTATATGTGTGTTTTAAAGACCAGTTTCTAGGGTATCTACTAGCTTTTTGTATCCAGAAGTACAGAGCACTAGCAGCATTTGTGATTTATCAGGCGCTCCAAAGAAGAGGMAGGTTTCTTAAACCCACCACATGTGTCTGTCCCAGTCAGAGTTGGATCTTGGACTGCTGATATTAGGTAACCATAATTAGTACCACCCTGCAGGACCTCCCAGCGAGTGGGTGGGTGTGTAGCATTACCCCAGGTTTTGCATGTGTAGAAAGTGGAATATGGCACCCTTTGGGTCCAGTTGGTTTCTCCTGCACCCTCAGAACCTGTGTGGAGCTTTCTGACTGCATGCTAGAGAAATCCTATATGGGCAACTTCTTTTGAAAAAGTCATAGAGCAAATAAAGGCCTTGAGATATGGCTCTACCTTTCAGCTCTTAGAGACCAAATGTAGGTTGGTTAAATGCATCAAAGGTAAATGTAACTCTTTTTTGTAGCTTGACCACAAGAAAGGTAAGTTCTTTAATTGATTGGGTCAAGAGGACCTCAGGGACCCCTGCTTGGGTGAAAATGGAATGTCATTTACATCTAAGATGGGAGATCTGATCTAACACAGCTAAAACAACGCTGAAGCCTCAGAGATTCAAGTTAAAACTAAAGTTAGAGGCAAATGTGGATAGCTTAAGCTGTGGAGGGCCAAACTTTGTATGCTCTGAAGCTGTATTCATCCCCAAGCTGGTAGACAGGCCAAACCTCGATAGTTACATTTTCCATGAAGAGCAGCTTTCTCAAGAAACTGTGCTCAGTGACCTCARAATCTCTCACTGCCTCCTTGTAGCTGATCCCTCCACCCAGCTGCCAAATCTGGCAGACTCATAGGTCGAATCAGGGTCCTGAACTAATTTGTTGGCCATTTTTAGTTGAATATGAATTGGTGAGGACAGGTGAAGTGACAACAATAAAACCAGCCACATCTTCCTATAAATTGGAAATTAAAGAAATAGTGGGTTAAAGAGGCAGATTTCAGGGAATGTTCTTGTATTCTTTCAGCTGCATTTTGCAGAGGAAATGAACAATACATTCTTTACACACCCAAGAGTGACCCAGAGTACTGTTGGTAACATAAGCAAAAATCTAAAATCTGTTACTAATGCCCATAGTACCAAGTATTAAAGCCCCTTATGCCTCTCCCTCCCATACTAATGTTTATATATTTTCCTACAAGTGTTCAGGTTCAAGTCCCCAATAGGATTCTCCTGGCAAGCAGAGATTGATGCAGCTGCCTCTTGCAGATGCTCATAAACATCTTGTATTGGTCATGGGGCTCCAGCAGGTGAGCAGGATGGTTATGGATGATGAGTTATAGTCTCCATTGATGACCTCGTGGGAGGACCCACAGCCACCTGGAAYAAATGAGTGCAAACAGCTTCAATGTGTTCAAGAGGAGGGGCACAGAACCGGGGCCCACCCAGGGCTGTTACAGCTGCAGGGAAGCCTCTGCAGCCTTGGGCTTCATCTGACAGTGCTTTGCACAGCAGCAGATTAGAAATGCAAGGGAGTGAAGAACCAGCTATACTGACACCAGCTTGTGGGCTGTACAGCTATAAACCAGCAAAGGATTAGCTCATTTGTATTAATTATCCATGGGTGTGTGTGTGACAATATGAGTCACTAAGCCTATGGGCAGTTACTTCTATAACATTTGTATATCTGTGTACCTATGGAGAGAACTCTCTTTATATATGTAAATACTGATGGTTTGCCATAGCTGAATGATGTCACCCTTTATTTTGAACTTGGAAATTGATTTTTCTTTTCTCTAACTAGGTTTTTAATGAGCSCACAGCAAATGCTCAATTTTCAGAAAGTCTGTGATTTTTACAACAGGTTTTTCTGAATTAATTAGCAGAAGGTGATCTTTTTTCCAGACCTTGGAAAAAATGAAATTGAAGCAGTTGACAGCTACATATAAATKACAATATTACACAATTTATTAGTTGATTTTTCCTACTTGGAGATGACTGTCCTTGTACCTGAGGGTTATTAGTATTTTTCTATTATTTGCATTCTCCCTTTAGTCATTACAAACATGCTATTAGTGGTCTATATGTGGCTCTAGTCACATAAAACTCATACTTTATTTTGTTTTTGTGAAGCTGTTAATTATTTTTCTACACAAGTTTTTAGTGGGCCTGCAGGAAAGAATGGTTCTGATTTTGATTTATCTTGAAGTAAGGTTCCTGAGGGCTGGATTCAATAATACAATCCATTTGTCTTAAGCACTGCAAAGGCTCATGGCAAAGCTCTAAAAATCAATTTTTTGAGAGACAGAGAGAAGATGTATAGCTGTACACCAGTTTTAGCAGCCCGGAACAGCAGTGGGGTGTTGTTTTTTTTCTTCCTCAGGCAGATTAAATGGTTATAGATTTGTTTGTTTTAATAGTRTTATAATCAAATACTTAAGTCTCAAAATATAGACCCTGTAGGCAGAAAGAAATGGACATTGTTTATAAGAGAAAATAAGATCTATTAATGAATTCAAAATAAAATCCCATGAAAGCACATTGATTAGAATGTAAGATCTCTCCTACAGAGCTGGACATAAAACCAGAATTAGGATGTGMCATTAACTAGAAATCAATCAATGCTATGGTTTTGTTCTGCATAAAAACAAAATATGAGTGGCCTGGCCATCAAAAGGTGAGCTTGGAAGCAAACTGAGGGATAATTTGAAAGGCTGATAGCACAGCAYACACGCAAAGATGGGAGGAGGGGGGAAGGAGATATTTTATGGTGTCGCCTTGAATTCAGATGTCTCCCCAGTGCAGAGCTGCTCTCAGGAAAAGTTCAGCTGATGGCTGGGGCAGAGCAACCTCTGCRTCTTCCACAGGGTCTCTGACAGGTGAGGCCCTTCCAGCTCATCTGCTGTGAGCTTTGCCCGTGCCTGTCACCTCCCTGGAGCTCTGTCAGGCAATGCCAGGAGGAGAGGGGCACTCTGACCAGAGCTGGTCCAGTCCCCTTCTTGGGGGGCCTTGCTTGGTCACCAGCACAGTGTGAGCCCTGCCTTGCAGGGTTAAATCAAATGCTAAAGGTTTATAAGGTGAGTGGCTTTGCAAAATGGTTTTCAAACTTGTGATGCAAGTTTAGGAATGAAAATGAGGGTTGGGCTCCTTTGAGTTATTCAGCCCTTTCTTTAGGGAGAGAAGTGGTGTGAGACAATTTGATTGTAGACTTGAGTAAGCCCTGACCGTAATAATCCTGAAAACCAAACAATGAAAGTGTTGTGGATAATGTTACGCAAAACAGAATAAAGGAACTGAAGTATGATTCTGACTTGCAATACAGCAGGGAATTTATCAAAAGATCCTGGTTTGCTTTGCTACCGTGGAACAATGTCT